AACCAAGGTCCAAAAGGGCAGAGAAGAACCAAGGTCCAAAAAGGGCTGAAAAGAACCAGGGGCCAAAAAGAACCAGGGGGCAAAAAGAACCATGGGCCAAGACTATTAGATTGTAAACTCTAATGAGCAGGGCCCTCTGTTTCTCTTCTACCAAATTGTATTGTAACTGTAATGTCTACCTCCATTTTGTAAAGCGCTGCACAAACTGTTGGCGCCATATAAATCCTGTATAATAATAAAAAAGAAGGACCGAGAAAGCATTGTGGCCTCTTCCTTGGAGAGGTGATGGGTGGAGTGCTTGCATGCTATGAATATATACTCACACAGGTGAATATTTACACAAAAGGGAAAACTAGTGTGCAGCCAGTAGAACCTATTTTAGGGGATTTCCAGAAGTGAAGGTCCTGTCCATCGAGGAACCCTCTGCGTAAAACAGGCAGACGGTTTCGAAAGGTCACCAAATCATTTACTGTTTTACGACACACATTTCTACAGGTCAAAGAAAGACCAAATCATAACTTGAGCTTGATGGGTTGGCTTTGTCATTTCACCACATGGACCAGGGACCCCTTGGGAGAGTAGGGTCACCCAAATTGAGAAATCCAAGTGTAATAGGGCGATGGAAGGGCCACACAAAAATCCTTGAGTCTGAAAACCTTATTTGTTCAACTGATTACACAAAAGAGCCAAGGAGAGCCCAGCACATTTCAAGGGCCACAAACCACCCATTCAGCAGGGCTGAGTGAAATGGAAGAATGTTAAATGGACCCAAAAACACTAAACAAATAGATCTGCTGCAGAGGATATTATAAAACACAGTCAGTGCTGGTGCCAATAATAGAAATGCCAGGGGTTTGGCATTGGCAAAAGGCCTTTGCCATTTCTGCTGCAAAGATCCAGAGAGGCAAGAGAGCAGTTGAACCCACCCCTTCACCAAGCAGGAGGCCTGGGGAGGCAAGAGAGCAACTGAACACACCTCCTCACCAGGCAGGAGGCCCAGGAGGCAAAAGCACAGCTGTGCCTACCTTCTCACCAGGCAAGAAGCTTAGGGGGGCAAGATAACAGCTGTAATTACCCACTTCTTCACACAGGGGAGGCAAGAGAGTAATTGTACCTACCTCCTCAAGAAGTATGAAGCCCAGGGAGGCAAGAGAACAGCTGTAATTACCACTTCTTCACACAGGGGAGGCAAGAGAATAATTGTACCTACCTCCTCAAGAAGCATGAGGCCCAGGGAGGCAAGAGAACAGCTGTACCTACCTCCTCACCAGGCAGGGTCTGGAGTGGGGGGAGAAAAACACACAAACTCCTTCCAAGGTCAACCCAGATATGAATATTCTTCCCCAGCATCTTCTATATTTTGTTGCTCTATTGCCAGGTGTCAACAATAGAAATGCCAGGGGTTTGGCATTGGCAAAGGCTTTTGCCATTTCTGCTGACTTTACGGCAAAGGTCCAGAGAGGCAAGAGAGCAGCTGAACCCACCCCCTCACCAAGCAGGAGGCCCAGGAAGGCAAGAGAGCAGGTTCTCACCTCCTCGTCGGGCAGTAGGCCTGGGGAGGCAAGAGAGCAACTGAACACACCTCCTCACCAGGCAGGAGGCCCAGGAAGGCAAGAGAGCAGCTTCTCACCTTCTTGTCGGGTAGGAGGTCTGGGGAGGCAAGAGAGCAACTGAACACACCTCCTCACCAGGAAGGAGGCTCAGGAAGGCAAGAGAGCAGCTTCTCACCTTCTTGTCGGGTAGGAGGTCTGGGGAGGTAAGAGAGCAATTGAACACACCTCCTCAGAAGGAAGAAGGCCCAGAAGGCAAGAACACAGCTATACCCAGCTTCTCACCAGGTAGGAAGTGTTTGCAATCGCAACTGAGATGACTTGAGTGCACTCACTTTCCAAGATCTCGTAACTGTGTCCAGGTGTCAGGGTCCTGTCCACGGCAGAAGTTCTGGAAGATCTGGCATTTCTGCCAGTACCCTGCATGGCCGCAGAAGCACGTATCAGCCTCAGTTTGGTGCCAGGCGGCCTTTATAAGGAGGCTCATCACTTCCTCAAGTTGCTGGATGATCTCTAGCTCCCCGTGCCTTGTTCCTGTTTCCTGTGATTGTGACCCGTGATTTCCTGATACCGACTCGGCTTGCTCTTGGACCTGTCTACTCTGTTTAACACCTGATCTGACCTCGGCTTGGCTAAGGATACTCTCTCTCTCTCTCACTCCTCTGTGTATGACCTCGGCTATACCATCTGACTACATCTGCTCTGATTCCCACCTGGTACCTGACCTTGGCTTGAACCGGCTATCCAGTAATCCTCTATTCCCGGAAAGGCTTGCATACCACGCACAGGCGCCACCTGTCTGCAGACCTCATCTCAGTGAGTCAGCTCTGCTCCTGGGTGGACCACCAAGCAGCACTCCTACAGGCGACCTGTGCAACTTTGGGCCTGACTCCCACTGTCTTAGGGGAGTCTGGAACTTAGCCGCAAGGGAAGCCCTCTCTCCATTGTCCTCCATCACCAGGTATGTGCTACCAGGTGTGACCATTGGTATCCTGAGAGGGCCTCCAAGGAAAAGGAAAAAGACCACCTACCTACCTGCAGATGCCACTGCTTAGGGCAGGGTCCCTACACAGACCTCATGATGAAATTACATGCAAACTGTTAATAATGCCGAGATAACTCCACAAACAATATAAATCGGAAGATCATAGGCCGTACCCGCAAGTTCTTATCTAAAGCACCACTTTAGAGTTCGGTGCTCAGTACTTTACAAGGCTTTTATCCTCAGATGTCACCATTCAGGTAAGATCTTCTCTAAATAAACATCTCTCCAGAGACTGAATAACAAATGTTTAGAGACCATATATTGCCAGCACCTGGATAGCAATCGTCTGATATTATTAGAATCTTAGATAGTAGATTGTTTCCAATAGCAAAATGTCAAAGTACTTGTGAGAGATTATTCCGAATAGCAGAGTCATGCAGGAGACTCACTCCAAAAGGACGAAAAAATAAACATGGATCCTATGTATGCTGGACTGGACCAATTTCGATTAGTGCGTGGCCACGTTAAGAAGAGTCTAAAGAGGTGGACCACCTACCTAGGCATTTCACGAGGAGAGACTTCTTCGGAGTACCTTCTTCGGAGATCCTGTAGTACCTCAAAAAAATGAAACCTCTTGGAGTAACAAGCATCTCAGGATAGCCCTGAGGAAGTCACATGATATTGTGACGCAACGCGTCAGCCTGACGTGGTGACGCACTTCCGGCGTGGTGGCCATCTTGGTGCACCTTTTTTGATTCCTGTTCACCCATGCAGATTACACCCAAAAGCATAGGGTTGTAAAGTTGTCATCTTTGAGGACGGATAGGAGCCACTGCTTGATTATCGACCCCTAGAGAAGGATATCTATGGATAAGGAAAGTTGATCAGTGGATATCAGTAGATGCTGAGAGGATTTGAGGGTTTGATCCCACTATACGCTTTGACCTTCACGGGTCGAAGCCTGGAGGTGAGAGGCTAATCTAGCCGTGTGTTGGAGTTTCTGCACCTGGAGTCACTTTATGATCACGTGTGCTTGCAATTGCAGTAGTGGTGTCACCCACCCATTGGACATTTGTCTACACATTTTTTATTTTTCATTTGTGTTTTTAGTGTGACATTTTTTGCACTTTATTTGCATGATTGATCACAGTCTAATTACTATAATTGTTTATTGTTTTCATGTGCTAGAAATTGTCACAAAGATTGTTACTACACAGTATTTTATACACATTATTTTTTATGATATTAGTTTTTACTATATATTTCTGATCACTATGACCACTTGATTATTATTATTATTATATATATATTTATTTCATGAGGTGTATTATATTTGTTATATATATTTTTTTAAATAATTTTTTGATTTTTATGAGTAGCGCCACATTTTTTGATTTTTATCTCAGGATATGTAATCGCTTAACAGCTTCCATCCACCATCAGATAGCAGTAGACTTTCATCTTCCCCAATTCCTCAGAAGGTAAAGAAGAGACCCATAAAGTAATTGGATACGGTATATATGAAGAGATTTAATACATGCTTACAGTAGGGATTACTTAATCCTTCAGACCAGTCCCAGCAGTTTGTATCACAAAAAAAACACGTTCTCCAATACTAAAAATGGCTTTGCCGCTACTTCCGGTTTGGTGTTTCGTCACTTCCGGACTTCTTCTCGAGGGATCCCTTGAGAAGAAGTCCGGAGGTGACGAAACGCGTCAGTCTTAGCAGTGGCTGCAGCAGCATCAGATTGCTACTCCCACCACTCATAGAGACTTGAAGGTTGCCACAGTCCCCACCCCACAGACAAAAAGAACCACCTATTACCCTTCCATCCTTTCACCATTCCCAATAGGGTAGGTGCAGGGCCAAATTTAGAACATCATGGGCCTGGGGCTTCTGTAAGGGTCGAGGATTGGCATGCACCCCAGGCTTCCATAATAGCCCTGCATTGTAATAGCCTAACACACCACTACAGACCCGAATACCAGACTTCCATTTGGACTTCCCACCCGACGCCCCTTATTAATCCCACCACCCAGCCCAGGCGGTGCATACGGAATGCAGGGTCGGTCATTTTTTAAAAATTTAACAAATTTCTAATCAATGATGGAAGAATCGCATGAGAAATTTAATCAGAATCGAAAAGAAACGAGCATGACCTGTGACCTGGAAAGAAAAGAAAATTCTTGGCCACGAAAATTCTTTTCTGTAGCAGCATGAGGGGAAATTAACTAGTTGCCGACCGCAGATAGCCACATGACGGCTGCAGTGCGGCCGGCCAGTTCATGTGACGTCCTCCCAGAATGCACTCTCCTGCACGCCCCCGGGGGCGCACACCCAGCGATCTCCGTGATTGCTGAGTCTTACGAACCCAGATGATCACGTGATGTGGTAAAAGGCCAATCACAGCGGCCTTTTACCGCGTGATCAGCCGTGTCCAATGACACGCTGATCACAGGGAAATGCAATTGCCGGTTCTCGGCTGTCAGAGCATGAGGTAAGTACTGCTGAGAACTGGCAGTTGTCAGAGGGGGGATCGACACCGATCATCAGGGCACTGATAATGAGTGCCCTGATGATTGGTGCCCAGCAGTGCCACCCACCAGTTCCGCCCACCTGTGCCCAGCAGTGCTGCCCCCTTTTGCCCAGCAGTGCCCATCAGTGCAGCCCAGCAGTGCCGCCAGTCAGTGCCACCAGTTAGTGCCCAGCAGTTGTGCCAGTCAATGCCCAGCAGTGCCGCCAGTCAGTGCCCAGCAGTGCCGCCAGTCAGTGCCGCCTATCAGTGCCACCTCATTAGTGCTGCCTATCAGTGCCCTTCAGTGCTGCCTATCAGTGCCCATCAGTGATGCCTATCAGTGCCCATCAGAGCCGCCTATCAGTGCCCATCAGAGCCGCCTATCAGTGCCCATCAGTACTGCCTCATCAACGCACATCAGTGAAGGAGAAAAATTACCTGTTTGCAAAATTTTATAATAGAAACAAAGACATTTTTTTTTCAATTGTTTTTCACGTTTTTTTGTTTATAGCGCAAAAATTAAAACACCGCGGTGATTAAATTCCACCAAAAGAAAGCTCTATTTATGAGAAAAAAATTATAAAAATGTCATGTGTGTACAATGTTGCATGACTGCACAATTGTCATTCAAAGTGCGACAGCTCTGAAAGCTGAAAATTGGCCTGGTAAGGAAGGAGCAGGGAAACTGGAAACTCGGGCGCTGCCCGAGGGCCAGGGGTCAGTAGGGGGCCCCATGAGATGCCCCTGGTACCTTTTTCATTGGCTTTTTTGAGTTTGGGCAAGGACACAGGGGCCCCATGATCCCCTATTGCCCGGGGGCCCCATGAGTTGTCAGTCTGCCCCTGGGAAGGAGGTATAAGTGCCTGGTAGCTGAGCGGTTAAAGGCTGGGTTGGTCAAATTTGGAAAATTAAATGGTGGCACCATCGGATTACAAAAAATGCACATTTCTGGTTTTCTAAAGAAAATTTGTGTGGAATTTGACCCATGTATGACCTGCATTAGTCCAATCATAGAACGGGGTCTAGGTTGCACACTATGGAAAAGAGTAAACAAAATATGTAATCATCCCCCTTTCAAGTCGCGGTAGACTTCGTATTTCCTTTGCATTTGTTAGCAAAGATATCGTAGAGACGAGGGATCTCCCAGTTTCCTGCTAGGCCTAAAATATCCAACGCACGTAGAATGTCTGTAGATCAGTTTATGAATTTAAACTTCGCTCTGCCTCGTTATCTCAGAGGGTCTTCTCTCACTTCCATTTCTTCTGACACCAAAACCTCCCTACAGGAGGATCTGCCCAGACATCGATGTACTCAGAAGCCCCGTATATTCCCAAGGAGAACCCAGAGCTCAGAGTGGGATACGATGTCAGGTTACATCGCGTGTTACGGTTATCTCCGTGCTCATGACATGTACAATAATCATCCCGGGAACTGTCATTCAATCCTGTTCTAAGCTTTAATGCGAATGTTCTTACTGAGGGAATTCAGTGGAGCATCAGAAGGTTTAGTCTGTTCTTCGAAGTACAGCTCGGCTCCTGGCGATATGGGATCAAGCAAGGAAAAAGTGGAATAATTTACTGGGCTACCCAAAGACTCCTAACAAAACCGCCATAATAGTCATTAAAACACAGAATAGAGAGGCTAAATTTAAAGCTCAAGCTCAGATATACAAGTATCACGTACCTGGTGATGGAGGCCAATGGAGAGAGGGCTTCCCTTTCGGATAAGTTCCGGACTCCCCTGAGAGTGGGACAGCGGGAGTCAGGCACAAAGTTGCACAGGTCGCCTGTAGGAGTGCTGGTTGGTGGTCCACACAGAAGCACATCTGGTGCACGGGGATAGGTCTACAGACAGGAGGCGCCTGTGCGAGGTATGCAAGCCCTTCCGGGATTTAGATGTTTACTGGATGGTTGGTTCAAGCCAAGGTCATGTACCAGGTGGGAATCAGAGCAGACGTAGTCAGATGGGATAGACGAGGTCATACACAGAGGAGCGAGAGAGAGAGAGAGTATCCGTAAGCCAAGCCGAGGTCATACACAGAGGAGCGAGAGAAAGAGAGTGTCCGTAAGCCAGGCCGAGGTCAGATCAGGGGTAAGGCAGAGTAGACAGGTCCAGGAGCAAGCCGAGTTGGTAACAGGAGATCACGGGTCAAGTCACAGGAACAGGGCACGGGGAGCTAGAGATCATCCAGCAACTAGAGGAAGTGATGAGCCTCCTTATAAAGGCCGTCTGGCACCAGACTGAGGCTGATGTGTACTTCTGCGGCCATGTAGAGTACTGGCAGAAATACCAGATCTTCCAGAACTCCTGCCGTGGACAGGACCCTGACAACAAGACACAGATTAACGCAGTATATTTCATGTAGTACCCTCCTAGTTTAGCTAGGGGGAGCTAGTGTTTAATGGTTAGTGAGGAAGGCTGAGTAGCAGCCTGGGTGTAATAGCCAGAAGGTCAAATCGTGGTCAGAAGCCAAGAGGCTCTGCAGGCCAACCCTTCTGGAATATCCCCCTGCTCTAGGGTTTTTGGAGGAAAGCTCTAGAGGCAGAGGATGGATCTGTGGAGTGGCTGGAAGCACTCTTGAGCGGTCCTAGCAAATCCCCAACAGGAGAATGGCAAGGGGCTGGACACCCTTAAAAGTGTTAGAGCCTGCTCAGTTGGAGGGAGAGTTGGTGGGAGAGTTGGTGGGAGAATTGGTGGGAGAGTTGGTCGGAGAGTTGGTGGGAGAGTTGGAGGGAGAGTTGGTGGGAGAGTTGGAGGGAGAGTTGGAGGGAGAGTTGGTGGGAGAGTTGTTAGGAGGGAGGGAGAGTTGGTGGGAGAGTTGATGGGAGAGTTGGAGGGAAAGTTGGTGGGAGAGTTGGTGGGAGAGTTGGGAGGGAGGAAGAGTTGGTGGGAGAGTTGGTGGGAGAGTTGGGAAGGAGAGTTGGGTGGGAGAGTTGGAGGGAGAGTTGGTGGGAGAGTTGGTGGGAGAGTTTGGGTGGACGAGAAAGATGTGAGGCTGAAGGAAGGAGGCTGCAAGGAGGCCCAGTGGGATGAGGCCTACCTGCAGGTCTGGAACTGGAAAGGAGAAAAGCTCAGAGCTCACCAGCCCCCTGAGAGAGGACCACCTGTATGGCATGGAAGGCCCAGCTGACAGGCCTGATAGCAGCCACCAACTCACCAGGTACCAGGTATATAGGAGAGGATCTGAGGAAGGAGCACCCAGGTGGGAAACCATATTAGCCCCCTACTGACTGTGCAGGAACCAGATCCCCTGTTCAGGAATACCTCCAGATTGCTGGGTGAAGAGGAGAAGGTCATCTAGGGTCTGGGGTGGTACACTAAGGGGATGCTAGCTAGCTCTACAACAGAGACTGTGCTGCAGAAAAAAAAACTTGTGAATAGTTCCAGGAAGTTGCCCTCAGTTCATCAGTACCCTTGGGCACGCTGCACACCCCCAACCCTATCCTAGTTCAAATCCCCTAAATACAACAAAACCAAAGCTCGAGGACTGGTTTCTGACTCTGGATGCAAGTCTTGCTGATGATGGGTGGTGTCTGGCTGTGCAGGACTATAGGGGGACCCAAATCTTCAAGTGACTCCTAAGGGGGTAGTGCTACATTTCACCTTAATTGGGTACAGTGTTGTCACAGAATAATGAATTTTCAGTAAACAATACATCCTTAAAGGAACTTCGCTTCCGTCTTACTTTTTTTTTTTTCCTGCTGATATAATGTAGGATTCACATTCACCCAGGCCAGTGAACCCAGCGTTGTCCTGTTATCTGCTGTCAACCTTGGGTCCCATGTCGCCATCTTGGTTGCTGGCATCAACAAGTGGCTCTTCCTGTTTCAGGCAGCCTGGCCCCTTGATGATGTGCCGCCAGGTTCACCAGTAGGCAGGTGCAGGTAGCTACTTTGCCACTCGGTGGCTCTGTACCAGAATTATGTTTGGTTACAGTAGGTAGTTTCACCAGGTGTTAGGCCCCTCCCACAGTGATGTCAGGGGTGAAGCAGCACCCATAGATAAGTCTGGTAGGGAGGGACACACCTATGAGGATGTAGCCAACATACGTAGGCCCCGGACAGGGCAGGAGGCCGATCAGAGTGGATCTGTACACAGGAGGAGCCGGCTGTAGCCTGTCCCTCATGGAGGTGGGGGCTGGGGTGGATTTCATAGGGCCTTTTAGTCTAGGTTGGAGCTCCCTATGTGGGACTGTTTCTCTGGAGGGTTCCGGGGAAGAGATGTATCTAGCAAGCAGGCGACTTCAAAGAGCGCAGTCCTGTGCGTACTAATGACCGTAGGTAGTGGAGAGATTGTAAGGAGGGATGGCTACTGAGGTGCTTATATGCTTTCACTTGTGACTACTGCGGACCGTCCACTAAATGTGATTGGCTGTGTAATGTCAAGTGACTCCGTAATTTAAGTCCTGGTGGTGTGAAGGTTATGCCATTATTTGATTTGTACCAGTAAAGTGCAGCACCGCGTTTTGCGGACCGATTTCCGGGTGTTGTTAACTTACCATACACACCCGTATCGGTTCGCATGAATGGGGTGCGATTGTAATGCGGTGCGGAATTCGCACTGAAAGCGCTGCAAGTTCTGTACCAGTGTGAACCCGGGCTAAAAATCCTACCAGGCCTAGGTCATATGACGTCCTTCCCAGATCGCGTATTGTGCGTGCCCGCAGGGCCGCGCTGTGGCGAGATCTGTCCCCCGCCATGAACCACGGACACGGCCGATGACAGATCTGTGTCCCAAAACCGTTGCCAGTACCATGTGACCTGCTGTGACCAATCAGTTGTATACAATGGATGGCTTCCTTTCATGCCATCCATTGTATACAAGTGTGTCTAGCTGTGAATGGTCACAGCGATCACATGTGCAGGCTGGGCCAATCACAGCCCATTTGTGTCAGGTGATTAGCCGTGGCCAATCACAGCTAAGCACAACAAAAAAAACCTCGAATGAATCGATTTTATTCAGTAAAATGCTTGCTTATAGCAAAGGAATTCTTTGCTATTACCAAATTGTGTAAAAAAAAAAAAAATTCTGATCACTTCCCCAAAGTAGTACAATGAGCCCCCCACCTATTAGTGATTGCTGCGTGCCCATCACTCCTCTTTCCTTTCAATAATCCCATTTGTGTTGAATCCCCCCCCCCCCCCCCCCCCCGGGGAGCGATGCGACACACATGGATGTCCTCAGACGCGGTCACAGGGGAAGGGGGAAGAGAACGACATTTCATTCCTCATTTACTGCGGCCGGCGTGTAATGTAGGAGATCGTTCACCTTCACCCGGAGAGTCCGGCTTCCATCACCGTCCCCGA